TTTTGTATCTGCACAAGCCATTAGAGATAAAATGTACTCATTATAGAACCAGATGTTTTTCTAAAGCTATGCCTTTGTATCTAGAAAGAATTTTAGGCCCAAATTTTAGCCCCATTGCACAGGCCAAACAACTGGATCGCTATTGCAATCTCAGTAGTAACCTTTGCACAGTTTACACCACTTTCATATCTAAAGTAATGGCTTCCCTTCCCCCATCCCCAGTGTACTCTTCATTGGATCAGTGTGCCTCAGCTATTGGGTTTCCCAAACTTACTTGCAGAGGGACCCTCCTTTACCTTGGAAGAAGGGTCAATACTTGTTATGTGCAGCTTACTGGGTCATGTTTTACATTATTGAAGGCTGATAACAGTCTGGAGATGACATGCCATGGTACATGATGGGCACCGAGTACTTTTTTATTTTTCTGTTTGCTTCCAGAAAGCAGAAGCAGCAATGGGGACCCCCTCCAGCCTGACTATAGCACAAATGAAGTAATAGTTTGCTTTCCATGTTCAGATCCACCCGGAAAGATGTAGGGAAGCCTCAGACTTGCACAGACTCAGAATGTCCTGAAATGGACCTTATTATCTGTATGCCATGCTTTTGCATACAGAAAGGAGTGATGTGTGCACATTTTGTCCTTTTTACATAAGAAACAGCAGCAATACTCAACCCCCTCTTAGGCAAACAACTTTAAATATTTTATTTATTCATTCTGCCTTCAGAAACAAAAACTTTCTAAGAACACTGAAACAAATGGAATAATCCTAGCATACACACGGCAGTCTCATCTAATCAGTATTGTGTATAATTTATATTAAATACTAATCTCTTGTTCTATTCCTTTTAGTTGCAATACTATGATTCCATTAAAGCAGTGATTTCTACCTCCAACCATGAACCTACAGCCTTAGTAATAGGTAACCATTTTCCTCCTATTTAGGCTTCTAGGAATTTCTTTCAACTTAATGTTTCTCTGATTTACACAAAGTTCCCTTTCCATGTGTGCAGTCTCACCTGTGGCATAAGAATGGCCATACTGGGTTGGCCCAAAAGTCCATCCAGCCCAGTATCCTGTCTTCCCATAGTGGCCAATGCCAGATGCCCTACAGGGAGTGAACAGAAACAGGAAATCATCAAGTGATCCCTCACCTGTCATCCTTTTCCAGGCCCTGGTATAGTGCTGGTCCCATCACTGTTACCTGGTTGGGTTTATTTCTAGTAGTGCCACTGTATATAAGGTAATTGATAATGGGAGAATCTCAAAGGGTTCTTCAAAGTCTTCTGATTTTAGTTGAGCTAAACATCTTACCATTAGGAGGCTGGAAGGACCTTCTGCAGGTGCATATTGTGTCCTCAGCACCAACAGAGTCAGAAGGGAGAGCAATTTTAAAATGTCATCTGGGGGTGTGCAGGAGAGGCACCTATTAGTGCATGTCTCAGCTGGCTTGGCCCCAGTCACTTTCCCTGATGAGTCCCATACACTTTGGGAGCTGAACTGACTGCTCATGGGCCTTCTGACAAAAGAAGTCACAAGCAGCTTTCACTGCTATGTCCCACTCTCATGGATGTACAGTGCCTCTGACAAGGGCTCTCACTAATGGAGCTAAAAGTGACTATATTATTACAAAGCAATTTCAAAAAACAACTTGAGAGAGAAGCTGCAGAACTTGATTTCATTTACAAGATTGACACCTGGAAACGAGGTCTGAACAAAGACCTGAACTGTATTGGCTGCTATGTCCTAAAGACATAAAGAGCTAAGCACTGGGAATTTAGATCCACTCTGTCGGTCTCATTTAGCGTGTAGTCTAGTAGCACTTTAAAGACTAAAAAAACATGTAGAAGGTATCATGAGCTTTCGTGGGAAAAACCTCCGATCATCTGAAAAAGTGGATTGTGCCCATGAAAGCTCATGATACCATCTACATGTTTTGTTAGTCTCTAAGTTGCTGCAGGACGGTTCATTTATTTCAGCTATAGTTATCTTCATAACCTGAAGCAGGCCCTTATCAGTACAGCATATAAATCTTTATCTGTCAAGGTGAACAGTGTATGTGAGTTCATACCTTCTCAATGCCATGTTTGTATCTATAATGACTGTTTAAATGTAATTATCTTATCTATTAGAACATCCCTTAGTTCCAAACAACTATGAAATCCCTCCTGGTTTCTGTGGTAACAGTTTAAAACCCATATTTTATATTTCCTTTTGCTTTATTGAGACTGTTGAAAATAGTACAAATTAATTCACTTCTCTTAATTTTTCATCTTAAAATATGCAGTACTGTTACCTGGAACTCTAATTCTGATTAAATCAAATAAAATTCCTTACATCTACTTCAGTTTCTTAAATAGGCATCTCAATTGCTTTAGCTACATAAGTAAAACAAACTAAAACTGCTCCCTTAACCAAGCTTATGAAACCCCTACTTATTCTTCTTAGCCCATCTAGATTTAAATAATTCCATTCTTTGCCTGTTGAGATTCCTTCCACATTTATGCCTAAGGGTATGTCTACACTACCCCGCTAGTTCGAACTAGCGGGGTAGTGTAGACATACCCTAAGAGACTTGGAGGACAGGTTGATGAATACTACAATTGGTTCAGTGCATTTTACAGCAGTTTCTTGCTAGTTTTGGTGAAGCTTTATTTCAGTTGAAATTACATTTTTTGACCACCTTATTTATAGTGATTTCAGTGCATGGTTAAGTATTAATAAAGAAACAACACTGTTGTGATTCAGGCAAGTATTCTTACCCACAGTTTACAGAAAAGTAAAAGTAGTACAGAATGGTTAATGGTCCATCTGCACTACAATCAGTGCTTTTTTTGTGATGGTACTGCCTGATACCCAGTACCAGCACTTCCAGTCAGAGCTCAACAACTTTTCCCCTAGAGTACCGATGAGTACTGGCACAATTTTTTTAATTTTTTTTTTACAAAAAAAGCACTGAGTACTGTACAATTGACCTGCGGTACATGACTGGTTCTTAAGGACTGGGATAACCTGAATATTGTTATGATTTTTGGTATAAAGCAGTGGTCCTCATGTTATCTGTGGCCCACTAGTGGTCCGTGGCCGTCTTCCAAGTGGTTCACAGCCCCCTTCCACTCTCCCTCCCTTCCTCTTCCCACAGCAGGGAGCCCATGCTAGCACTCCAGCCTCGCACAGACACCACCCCCTTGCCATGAGCTTGGAAAGCAAGCACTGGCTTCCCTCTGGGGGTAAGCCCTGAGCCTCCCTACTGGATCTGGCTCATTGGGAAGAAGCAGAATTGAATAATTGAAATTTGGAAAAAATATCTTAATTGAATTTAAAAGAAATGTGTGTTCATGAATTAGGAGAGCTGTTGTTGTCATTATGTCAGTTTGACTTACTCCAGGTTGTATGTATCCACTGTCTGGGGAAATCATACTGCAAACTCTGGGGTATTTTTTGTCTGAAATAAACATTTATGATGATTGTAGTCAGTGCTTTTTTTTTTTTTTTTAAAGGTGCCGGTACTCCAGGGGAAAATTTTATGTACCTAGTTTTATGTAAGAAAATTAATAATAGATCATTAATCTATTCTGGAAGCACTGAAACCTCCTAGATTAGAATCTTCTCAGCAGCAACATTTTGGTCTATAATCTCTATTTCCAGCTTTTTATTTAAAAGCATCTGGCTTTGTGTGCATTTTCCAGATCCCCTGCAGATGAAGAGGGAAGTTGAATGCCATTGTTTGTGGCACTCTTTGCCCTTTAATGTGGGCTTTTTTATTCCCTCTTGTACTGGGATTAAACTTCAGAAATTGTCTTGGAAAAGCAATAGTGATATAGGAATGAGGCTTCAGAGACTAGTTTGATTCTTCCTTGTATCTTATCTCCTGCCTGATGTGTTCTGTTTTATTTTGCCTGAAATTAGAAGCAGCAGGAACAAATGTGTGTTCTAGACATTGCCCCAGATTCTGCCTCTGTGAAATGAGCAGCATGTTCAGTTTTGAACCTCTCCTTGCCGGAAAGATGTTTAACAAGGCTGTAAGACGTTTCAGAAAGTGAAGCTGGAGGGATTTTCTTATCAGGAAAGATCAAAGTAGCTAAATGCTGACTAATGGGAAACATCGTAAATTAAACCCCAATGGGATTGGGAGGAGGGATTTTAGCATAACAGGAGTATAAATAGGAGTAATGGCGTGAAATGAAAGAGGGAATTATAAAATGACTTTTGTGAGAAATGTCCTGATGCTGAAACGTATTAGTACCTAATCAACAGGAGGTGAGTGGGAACCAAGATGTCTAAGATATTTTTGAATTTATTAGCTCTTTAGGTGAGTGTGTTCTTTTTCAGGATGTACTGTGGGAACTACTAATGTTGAGCAGCAGATGAAAGAAATAAAGGACTGTGGGAAAGATTCAAAAGCAAGAAAAGGGCAAGTGATACATAGAATCCCTTCAAAGAGAGCTGAGAGGGATCAGACTGTGTTTCAAGTCTACAAAGGAGTAAAAACATTTGCATTCTGTAAAAAAAACAACCTTGTAGTGACAGGTGGAATGGATCGAATCGTCCAGATGTGGAACCCTTACATGTCTAGGTAAGAGGCAATCACAGTATTCACTGAAAGACTTTGTTATGAAGTGCTTTGTAACAACACATTAATGATAAGTAATTCTTACTATCTATTAGCTGATCCCTATTAGCAGGGCAATATAAGTGAATTAAGGAGACAATCACAAATGTCCTTGAAATACATGTGATCTTATAGAATGGCTTTGCTGCACTTTTGATAATATCAGGACACACAAAAATGCATACAGCAAAATCATTCCCATAACTTTAAATACATTATATAAATATAAAAATTCTTGGACTATCTTCTGGTTTTTTTTTTAATCTAAGGTTAGTGTGAGGTTTTGCTTATGCTTAGCCTAAGACCTCTGCCCACGTGGAGCTCATTCTACAGTTGAGGCCTGGGAATCCATTTGGCAGCATTAACATCTCATGAAAAACTGAACTCTGCAAGCAATCGCTATTGTTGCATGTACATCACTCCCAAGTGCTGAAGACCATAAGAACGGCCATACTGGGTCAGACCAACGGTCCAACTAGCTCAGTGTCCTGTCTGCTGGCAGTGGCCAATACCAGATGACCCAGAGGGAGGGAACACAACAGGTAATTCTCACGTGATCCCTCCCGTGTCACCCATTACTCTGTTTATGGTAGGGGGAGGGTTCTGTAAGAAAACACAAAATACAGTTCCTGCCAAATGTATAAGTAGTAGCAGCTTCTAGCCCATTTATTTTTACTGTGTTTTATAAAAAACTATCAATTTGAAACTGCTTAATATTGAACTGTTCCTATTAAATTTCAGACAACCAACAGGCATGCTCAGAAGTCACACAGCACCGGTTTGTAACCTCTCCATATCTACAGAAGATTCAAAGATATTTTCCATATCCACAGACAACACAATTAAGGTATCACTGTGTACAGCAAGTGTCTGATATCCTACCCCAATTCTCTTTTTTTATATTCACAGAGATAAATATATTCAGTCTATCAACGTGGCCAAATACATAATAGTACAGCATAGCAACGTAGGTCCTGATCCATTTCTCACTTAAGTCAATAGAAAGACTCCAACTGAAACTGGAGTTGGATCTGGCCCTTAGACAGATAAATATAGAGGGAGCGATTCCAGCCAGTACTCTTAAAAGTCAACAGTCATCTAGATTTTCAGTTGTAATAAATGCATTTGTTTCTGAATGTTCTACAAATCATGATAAGACTTTTAATAGGGATCTAGTTTTCTGAACTTTTAAAAGTATTCTACTTTAGAAAGTGACTTTGTGTTATGTTTTGTTTTTAAATGTAGGGTTCTTGCTTCTATTGAAATTTCTCTAGGACATGTATTTCTGTTTCTTCATTTGCTGAAATTTCCCTACCCATACATGTTTTATTCATTTCCCTGCATTAAAATAATAACATTAAGTTTCGAAATGCTAGAATTAAGGTTTCCTCATGCAAAATTAATTTGGACCTTTCTGCACAGAGAAATTTTAAAATACATCCTATTTTCCCACTATTCTTCTACCTCATTCAGGGTACAGAATGGATTAGTGCTCACTTAATGAGAAGCTATCAAATATTATGTTTTCTTCTTGTTCAAAAATGTGTGGCCTCATTAATTCTGGCATATTCCTCACTTTTGAATGTTTTGTGCAACATTTTAATGTAGATTTTTGTATATAATTTCTTAGGTATTTTCATAAAGCTAACCCACCTCTTTTCCCCAGAAACTCTGTCAGATGGGCTCATATTGACATTTGCATGTGTCATGAGCAGAGGTGGAACTTCTAGCTCCACCTCACAGACCTCTACCACTGAGCTTACGGGGCAACTGGTAGTAGTATTAGATTATCATCATCTGGCTAGACAAGCACTACAGGAAAATGGGACATTTTGCCAGGGGGTTTCAAATTAATTACTAACAGCAGACAAGGGGTCAAACTTAAGTATCATGGGCTCCATTCAAGATTTGAATGGGAGTGTGCTCTATACAGACTCCTCTTTGCACTCCCCTGCAGTGTGACTCATTCTACCCCTTCTGCTCTGTCCCCTTCAACTTTTTCCTGGCCCAGTCATGTCACACCCCAGGCTTCTAGTCCCATTCCAAGCACCATTCTCGTAGCATAACTAGTCTCTGTCTCCTCAGATTTCTTATCCCAGCCTGTCTCCTTGCCTAGCATGCCCTAGTCTCACCCATCTGCACTACCTGTCACCACCCTTCTTCATCCCTAGTCTCCTTGATGAGCTAGTCCCCCACTCCTGGATCCTCATCCTCTCTTCCCATCCCTACCTTTCTGTCCCCTGACTCCCAGTCCCAATCCCTCTCTCTGGCCTCCTCATCCAATTTCATGTCCCTTTGCTTAGATAGATAGTATTCTTGTCCTTCATCAGATCTGTCTCCCTTCCTTTCACATTCTTCTCCCCTTTCCTGCAAGTCTCCTGTTCCAGTTTTTGTATTCCCTAGCTCCCATGTCATATTCTATTCCCCCCATGCCCTACTAGGTTAATCTTTTGTCCCCTATGTATTTGAATCAGGCAGCTTCCTTCTCCACACTGCCTGGGCCCAACAGGGTTTCACAGTCTCCCTGCTTTCAGTGTAGGTGCTCAGACATAGCATGGCCCACAGCAATCAAGAGCTTCAGTTGCAGGGAAAGCCTTGCTTAGGCTCTCGACTGGAGCACACCATAAAGCTACTTAGGTGCCTAAATCTTACTGTTCAACTGCTGCCTAATCCTGCAGGTACCTAAAGGCCACTTGTTGTTTGTGTTTACCTGCTGGTAGTAACTTAAAGCTGCCTGAGTCCTGATGTTGCACCATGGTTAACCATGGTTAACCAGCTGCTAAGAAAAAACTTGAAAAACAACAAATAGTCTTACAGCAGCTTAAAGCCTAACAAAACATACCATCTGGTAACTAAGTTTTTCTAGTTACAGACTAACTTGGCTACCCCTCTGTAGCTGCTAAGAGTTCCTTTTCATGCCTAATGACCAGTAGGCTTATCAGACTGTATAGAATACCAAATAGTCTTGTGGTTTGGGAACTAGGAGACCTGAGTTCAAGTCCCTGCTCTTCCCAGTTCTGATGCTGGACTTGACCCTGGTTTTCCCATATCCCAAGGGAGTAACATTATTAACACCAAGCTATTGGGTATTCTGGCATTGGTGTGTTTCAGTTTTCCTTGTTTAATTAGTGCCACTTTACATAGCTAATTAATTATTCACTGGAGCAGAGACTTGAACCTGACTGACTCTTCCACATCTCAAGTGAATGCCAGCCTCTGGTCTGTTGAGTCAATCTCTCTGACCCACTGAGTGTGTATAAATGTTTTATACAAAGAGGGACAGTTTCAACAGGAGAGATGGCAAGACCTTTACCCCAGGATAGTCTCTGTTCATTTATGTGGAAAAGTAGTGCAGCATTTTTTGGGTAAGTAATTCCCTTCTCTGATTCTAAAATACTCAAGACACCCTGATCTAGCAGTGCTGTATTGGTAGTACTGTTGGTCTGGTTTTAACTTTCCAATGTGTGTGCTTTTTGTCACAGGAGGGCCCCAGGTAATGTTGGTTAATTTGGTTGAGGTGGAAGTCCGACGTGCACGTCACCCCAATATGCCCAATCGGTGGACTCCAACTTCTGGGGCAAAATGGTGTGGTATATATCCCCCTGGCAGAGGCCAGTCTGATGGGATGCCATCCACTGGTTGCACACAGTCCAGGTGGGGTGATGTCTGTTAGTGACACCCCCTCCTTCTTACTGGTATGTCCACTATTGATCCAGAAACACCCGGTTTTTGCACCACCCAATTTTGCTTGTCTCACCACAAGTGAGAAACAATGGTCTGTCCTTGGTTAGATTCTTCCCTTGTTACTTTTTCCTTATCTGAAAATGATGGAAATGCTGCCTCAGCACGCATACACAGTTCTTTTATTTCACATAGTCCTTCTTCTTAAAGTTGTAAACAAGTCTATAATCCTCCAGGGCTCTTGCCTGCACCTCAGCACGGTGTCTCTTCTGCTCACTGTTGATTCACTCATGCACTCATGCTAACCATTCACACTACCCATGATTCATGACACTTTGCATAACTACTTGACCTGGATGGGAAGAGAAGTATAGCAGTGAATTTTTAGAATTACACGAGGATGTGTGTCAGACATTCGAGTACAATCCTATTAATTTTTGTTCTGTATGTATAATATCTTTTCTTGTAGATCTGGGATATTGTGGATCAGACCTGTTTATTTACAGCACTGCATGTCACTACACCCCAGGCACCAGATTGCTTTATGTTGCTGCTCACTTGCTCTTCTTTATCTAAGAATAAGGTACATGACATGTTTGTTTGAGTTTGAAGGCTTACAGGCCTCTTCACCTGTTGTTCAAAAATTCAATAGGTAAGGGGTGTGTGTGTGAGAAACCTAGAGCATTTGAAATATAACTGGTGAAGCTTACCTTCTATGGGAACTGGGTAGCATAGATCCTGGTCCCCTCCTCTCTTATCTATATTCAAGTTCCCAATATGGCAATGGCTGGTGCAATAAAACTGATGACAGGGCTGGTGGGAATTATTTGCCAAAATTCCCTAACGTTTGGTCGAGTAGATGCAGGCAGATTAACAATGGGATGGGTGTGGAGATTCTTGGCCTCTCTCTTTCTTCCCACATCTATCAGTATCTTTAAATTAAAGTCACAGCTTTGCTTCCCCCCCCCTTTCAGAAAATGTATTGAGGAAACAGTATGTAAATGCTTAATGTGGTTGTACTTTCCCCAGCTCTTGAGGGTCTAGCTCAGGGGTCTCCAACCTTTTTAACCACAAGATCACTTTTTTCAATTTAAGTGCAATGCATGATCTACCTCAAACCCCAATCCTTTTCCCCGCTTCCTTCTCGCCCTTCTCTGAGGCTCCACCCCTTCTCCACCCCTTCTCCAAGGCCTCAACCTGCTCACCCCATCCCCCCTTTTTTCCCCGAACCTCACTCACTTTCACCAGGCTGGGGTAGGGTCTTGGGGTGCAGGCTCTGGTCTTGGGCCTAAAGGTTCAGAGTGTGGGAGGGGCTCCAGGCTTATCCCTGGGCAGGGGATTGGGGTGCAGGAGGGGGTTCAGGGTGCAAGCTCTAGGAAGGAGTTTGGGTGCAGGGGAACTCACTTCTGAGGCAGGAGGTTGGATGCAGGAAGGGATTCAGGCCTGGGACAGAGGTTCAGGAAGTAGGCTCTTGCTGGATACCATTTAACTGAGATGGCTTCCAGGTGGTGGAGCAGTGGAGTTAAGGCAGGCTTGCTCCTGCCCTGGCCCTGCACCACTCCTGAAAGCAGCTTGCATCTACAGCAATGGCTCCATGGAGCCATGTGCTGCCCGTCATGTACAAGCACTGACCCCACAGCTTCTAGTAGCCACAGATCCCCATTACAGATCAATGGGAGCTGCAGGAGCGGTGTTTGCCGGCAAAGAGAGTATGTAGAGACCCCCTGTTCTGCCTTTTTTAGGGGCCACAAGGACATGCCAACCACTTCCAGGAGCAGCAATTATTATAGCGATAATTACTCCTGCTACAACAGATTAGGCATTTGAGCACTCACTACTCAAAATTAAATTTAAGCATGAGAGAGAAATGAAAATTATGAAATTCACACACAAGTCAAAAACCAAAACTAACTCTCTTTGCAAGCAGTAAAAGAAGTAACAACAACCCCCCATGTATGTTTTGGGTTGGGAGATGAGAGTGAAGGACAGTGCTTGTTTGTGAGAGTGACAGAGATTTGCATTGCAAGCTCCCTCCATCCCCTTCTCTCTGACATCAGACACCCTGACATCAGCACCCCCCTATCTCTCTCCCACATGCTGCATAGCAAGCAGGAGGCTCCCGGGGGGCAGCTCCAAGGCAGAGGGCAGGAGCAGCATGACAGTGGGCAACTGAAGTGCCAGCACTTGATAGCTTCCTGGCCAAACCAGTCGGGATCACCTGTCAGAGGCCCCAAGATCTACTGGTAGATCCTGATCTACTAGTTGGTGACCACAGGTCTGGCTGATATACGGTGCATGGTGACTGTAGGAATGGTGCATTGCTTTGGTCTGTTTCTCCATGAAATAGGTCTCCTCTAGAGCCCCACTTGATTGTTTCTCATAAGGAGCCAGTTCTGTGCTGCAAATACAACAAAGAGTTCAGGCATGTGGTGAGCTGCTCAGAGGGATCGGTAAGTGAAAACTATCCCACCTAAGGAGATGTAGATGCTGACATGACTGTGTGTGTCTGTTTAATCTGTTGAAGCTAATATGTGCTTTTTTAAGACACCCATAACTAGAGCTGATCAGAAGTTTTCTGACGACACAGATCTTTGTTAGAAAATTTTAGTTCTTCAACCTCAAATGTTTTGTGAAAGCAAGTCCTATTCAACAAACTTTCACTGAATCAACCTGCCTGGTTCCCTGTCTGCTTGCCCAGTGAGCTGCTGCAGAGCCATACTATGTGGCCTGACCAGGGTCAAGAACTCCAGGGTTTCAGGATCCAGAGCTTCAGAATCACCCTGGTGTGCCAGTGCTTCCATGAATCCAGGAATCTGAAAGACCTAGCAGATCTTGCTCTAGTCAGGACTGAGAATCTAGGTTCCCAGCTCTACAACAGGGAGCATAGTGATTTGGGGACTTAGAGGGCTTCTCAGTTCACTGCACAAAACTGGGACCCAAGAGATCCTGGGACAGAAGTTGGGGACCCAGCTGAATCAGGAGCCTAGAAGACCTGGAGCCCTGGGACATATTCCAGGGCTGCCCTGGAGCTAGAGACCCTGAAGCCTAGACAGCATCTGTCTGCAATTAGAGTTCTTATCAATTGCACTGTGGCTGTTGGTGGTGGTGCCAGTCCAAGGATCATGTTTTGCTTTGAAAATGTAGTGTGTCAGAATTGCACTTTTGTTTTCTTCTTCAGGATTTTTGATTCAACGGAAATGCCAAAAACTCTGGATTCACGGACATTTGGAATTAAATCAAATTTGAAAATGTAAAATGTCTCCTGACCCAGAAAGCCCAAGTTTTGGTCAACTCTCCTGATTACCAGTATAACTATTAGGTAGTCTGTAAAAATATTATAAAGGGAGTAAATCAAGTAATGTCATCTACATATATGGTCCTTAGGGCTTGTCTTCCTGGATAGCACTTTAGTGAAGATCTTACTAAAGCTTCTCCTGATGGTGTGGTTAATCCACCTCCCCAAAAGATGCTAGCTATGTTGACACAGGATGTTAACAAATGTCTATTTTTGTAAATTCAACCACTGCTGAATTTTTCAGTGGTTACATGTTTCCACATACTGGGCAGGCAGGAGTTGGTGCTTATGGGGAGTTGGCTTAAAAGCTGGCTCACTGCAAGCACCTGCTCCCACCTTCCCCCTCTCCCTCCTCCCACTGCTTCCTCTGATACAGAGGTAGCAGTGTGGAGAGTAGGTTGCTCCACGGGAGCCAGGGTATGCAGCAAGCTGGCTTGGGGGAAAAAAAGGTGGTTGGGAAAGGCTGGGCAGAGAGGGGTAAAATGGAAAAATCCTGCCACTTTTAGGACACTTCTTCAATCACTGTTTGTTTGCTTGTCTTTTAAAAGGTGGTAAAAGTATGGGATTTTGAAACTGGGAAGCATTTGTTTGAGTTTAGTGGTGCTCACGGAGGTGCTGCAATAACCTGCTTGACCTTTGATGTCAGTGGAAGAAGGTATATTTCTTTTTATGTATATTTAAAGCTGTGTGTGTGCAAATTGTTAGTACACATGGGGAACTCTGTTAAATTTTAATCTTGTTTTAGATTAATTACTGGAGGAAGAGATGGATGCTTGAAAATATGGAATTACAACAATGGACTTTGTTTGAATACTTTGAAAAGGGGTGAGCAAAATGTTTAAAATATTTTCAAGGCTGGAAAAAATATGATGTAAAGTACTGAAAATAATAAGTGTTTGGTTTATTTTTCCCTGCAGAAGACAAATGTGCTGAAGTCTGTGACTGCACCTACATAGAGGTGAACAGAAGCAGGTAAGATCTTTCACAACTTGATGTGAAATTGTTCTCTAGGAAGTGATCTACGGCGTGGGAATTTACACTGTGGAAGTGCTAACTCTTTTCTGTAGAAAGTGATTCCTCTGTGACCTACTGGAGCATTGGTAACAGCTGTGCCACAAAAAGAACTACAACCTCTGAAAAAATAAACAGTGCAAATAAACAGACTTGTACAGCTATCCAAAGCAGGTTCCAACCTTTGATGAATGCCGATGGAGCCTTTAATGGAGCACTGGCCTATAGGTACAGGAGCAGCAGGCACATCTGTTGATGGGATATAGAGGTTACTGAGAGTTGTAATCACCAAACAAAACCAATGAGGGAAAGGGGTCAGCTGACTAGGCATCATATGACTATATGTTGGAAAGACTACATAATGGAATGCCCCTGGCTCAGTCTGGAGAAGATGAGGGCTGATGTAAGACCCTGAAGGAAGTCCCTTCATGGGAATGTGACAGGAGGCCTAGACGATAACCAGGAAAGGCAACTCAAAGAGAAGGCTACGTCCTCTCTTCCCTGCTTGCTGAAAACTTCAGAGGCCTCCTGTGATTGTGTGTTTTGCAATATTTTTCTCTTGTTTTGAATCCTCTAGTAATGATAAAACCTGCCATGAAGAAAGGATCTAGCCCAAATTGTAGTTTTGGCTTTATTTTACCTTCCCTGGCTAGTGTTTCTGCTTGCTGGCTTACAGACTTCTAATTCTCTGAGACAGATGGCATTGTTCTGCTGCTCAGTACACAGTAGGGATGTAATAGTGTAGTCGATTATCTGATTAACCAATAAACAAAAGCTTATAGTTCAATGCTATAGAGTGGATTACACGCATTTCCACCCCTCCCCCACCTGCCAGTAAATGTTTTAGCAGGCTGGCCAACAGCCTAGCAGAGTCCTGGCTTGTGCCAGGTCCGGGACCTACTCTCGCTGTGTCTCTGCATTTAAAGTGTATTAGGAGCCAGGTGGGCAGACAGCCTGGTTCAGTTCCACCTCGTGCCAGGTCCAGGAGCTCAGCCCCTCCCCTGGATAGGGGCTGCTGCCACCCTGTGGTGCTGCCTCTGTATCAGAGGCAGCAATGCAGGGCAATAGGCAGCCAGCCAGTGAGGGAAGCTGGTTTTTCAACTGACTCCCCCTGCGGACCAGCTCCCACCTGGCACCCCACACTGACGCCTATGTTACAGAGGCAGCAGCATGGAGTGGCAGGGGGCTCCTCTGGAGCACTGGCTTCTGACCCCTCCCCCAAGGACTATAGATTAGTCGACTAACAGATAAGAATTCATGAGGTAAATCGGCTATTCAATTACCTAATATTTAACATCCCTAGTACGCAGTACTCCCATGTTGTTGTTGTTTGTGTTAACAGTAGCATATGGAAGTCAGGACCCCAGTTGCGTTAACCATTGTAGAAACATAATAAAATACAGTATTGTGCTCAGAGGCTCTATCATTCCATAAAGGCTGTTCTCAGTGGATTAGTTCATTATTTTTGACAAGTTGTGTGTAACTTTCCCATTTCCTTAATGTTTAAACCAGTAATATTCAAAAACATCTCTTTTAAAAAATATATTACTAGTATATATAATCAACAGATGAACACTGAATACTTTATTAAATCTTCTTGTAGGTATATCATAGCTGTTGGATGGGACAGAAGAATAAACATGTATTTTGTAAGTGAATAAATATAAAATGATTTAGTATATTATTTTAAAATGAACACTTAAATTTTGTGTGTGTTGCTTCTCATTCAAAGTGAAAAAGTAAAAAAAAAATCTGTTTACCATCACTGATGTATTAACCATTTCTGTTTTGGGGCTAAGACAAAAAAGTTGCCCAACACCCATCCTCTTTCACTTTTGGTAGGACATGTAAAACTTGATCTCACCCTCTGTAGGTGGCCTAGGATTCTGTGCCCTGTAAACAAATAAAATTTGAAGGACATGATCCTGCAGAAGACATAATGTTGTAGGAAACTTATTGCATGGAAGGTGATGTGCTGGTCCCATTGACTTCGGTGACAAAATGCCAGCTGACTTCAGTGAGGTCAGGATTTCGCCCTGAGGGTAGTTCCATTGAATTCTTCCTGGCCACTCAGCACATAAAGTTGGGTTCACATGTAAATCTTTGAGCCCTGGTCTACTCTGGGGCTTTATTTCGAAATAACCCCTGTTAGGTTGAATTTATAAGTGGAGCATCCACACTACCGCTGCTTATTTCGACATCTGTACTCCTGCTTTTCTTGGGGGATAATGCTAATTTCATATTGGTTATTTCAAAATAGCGTTAGGGTGGACGCTCCAGTGCCATTATTTTGAAATAACTACTCCCCAGAGTAATTTGAACTAATTACTCCCCAGTGTTTCTTGGGGCTCTAAGTCAAGATAGTGTACCTGCATTAACAGAGCCTGCCTCAGACTAATTTTAAGGCTTCCCCGTAGTGGAGATACGCTATTTTGATTTTGTAAAATTGAGAGTTAAGTCGAATTTAGTTATTTTTAAATGATTTCCTAATGTAGACATGGCCTGAAGGATCAGGGCATTGATGTTTTGTCTATTTTTTTTAATTTACTACCTTAGGCCGACCTGAAGGAGCAAATATATGCAAAAGTACATTTGACAGTGATCAGTGAGCCATCCAGTTGCCCAGTACTGTTACATATACTGCTATTAATATGCAATACATGTTTGTTATAACATTTAGTTTGATTTTAATTATAAATTAACTTAAACAGGCATAGGAAACATGTTGTTTTCAAATCTTTGGGCTTTCTGCTATTGTTTCTAGCAGTATGAAGGGCCTAATCTGTTCCCTTAAGATTTGTGTCAATGGAAATTTGTGCTTTAAAGACATCTGACCTTTACACATTCTGAGCTCAACTTCTTTTGAGCTGTACATACTTAATATGAGAAGAAATCCCTGTTGGCTGAGAAAATGCTGAGCATAAGAATGACCATAGCGGGTCAGACCAAAGGTCCATCTGGCCCAGTATCGTATATGTCGACAGTGGCCAATACCAGATGCCCCAGAGGAAGGGATCACAACAGGTAATCCTCACGTGTTCCCTTTTCTGTCACCCATTTTGAGACAAACAGAGTCTAGGGACACCTTTCCTACCCATCATGGCTAATAGCCATTGATAGACCTAACCTCCATGAATTTATCTAGCTCTTTTTTGAACCCTGTTAAAGTCCTAATCTTCACCACATCATCTGGCAAGAGGTTCCACAGGTTGACTGTGCACTGAGTGAAGAAAAACTTCCTTTTGTTTGTTTTAAACCTGCTGCCTATTAATTTCATTTGGTGACCCCTAGTTCTTATATTGTGGGAATTAATAAATAACTTTTCCTTATTTACTTTTTCCATACCAGTCATGATTTTATAGACCTCTATCATATCCCCCCTTAAAAATACATCAACTTCTCTTTTATCTATGTTTTTTGGCACAGGACTCTGCAGACAATTTTCATCACTTTCAGAAACCTCAACCCTATTGGCAAGATGATATAGTAAGAATCCATCTTGATTCTCTAATACAAATTAAGTCTGATATTGTTTGACACACAGCTGAATAAATAATTGAATATAGGATTGAACACGGACAATTAGAATTTAATAATGGGCGGTTTATTGAATTCTTACCAACATATAATTTTAGACAGATAACTTTCACACCTGTGTTATGAGCAGATCGTAGAGAAAAGTGAAGTTTAGATTTGGCATTAGGAAAAACTTCCTAATTGTCAGGGAAATTAGGCACTAGAATAAATTGCCTAGGGAAGTTGGGGAATCTCTCTCATTGGAGGTATTTAAGAGCAAGTTAGACAAACACCTGTCAGGGATGGTCTAGAGGGTGCTTGGTCCTGCCATGAGTGCAGGGGACTAAACTTGATGACATCTCAAGGTTCCTTCCAGTTCTAGCGTTCCATGCTTCTGTGAAAACAGTGTCATAGGTTGGAAGATGTAGTATTTGGCATGAAATGTTTGACACATGGACAGGAGCTGCTTATGTTGGAAATGCGGCAGTTTTGGAATGAAAAGCAGCAGAATTAGATGGCCACTTCAGTGTGGAAAGGAGAGAGAATTCAAAAACTGATCTCACAGCTATAAGTTGTAGACTTAATGGAGAGAAGATGGTGATCCTGGAGGAAAGACAGCAGGTTCAGTTTCACTGGTGGAGTATCTTTAGGATTCAGTGAGACATCCAACAGGAGATGTCAGACAGTAAGTCACAGTCTGATTTGAGGATGGGGGAGATCTGTGAGTCCCTAGCAGAGAGAGAAAAAGGTGTTAATACTTAAAGCTGTGTGATAATTTAACAATTAAAGCTGATGGGATAGGAGGAGGAAACCATCTGCAAATGAGATCTTTATCTTGTATCGTTTAGAAGACACAAATCTCAATTGTTTTACATTTCTCACCTGATGCTCCATGGATTAGGTTGAAGACATGAATGCCTCTAGACATAGATTCTTGTGTGTAAGCTGCCAAAGCTGGGAAAAGTCCATGCCTAGGTGCCTAGGTCCCTTTCTCTTGCTGAACAAAGAGAAAGGAGCAGCAGTGTTACTTTGATGCCATCTTTTTCATTTAGAGCAGTGGCCACAAAGAGGATATTCTGTGTATTGCTCAGTGTCCACCTACTCTTCTGGTCACCACCAGTTATGATGGTGAAATTATTGATTGGAATATGATCTCAGGATGCATATACCAAAAACTGCACACATCTTTTCTCACCCACTGTACTGACACAGAAGGTAAGTGCTGACCAGGGAAACTGCAGGGGAAACAAATTCCTAAACACTTTCCAGCTTTATCATTTATTCAGTCTTTTCTAGAGAGATGCAGACCTTGTGTGCTACAACAAACTATACTATTAAGAGGATACTTAATGAATTCAGTAGATCGGGAGAAGCACAGTAGGTGTACATCAGATAAAATGATTTCATATTAAGGCAAAGGAGCACTAACATATCAATGGCTTAGTTAAAGCTGTTATCTCTAGTGAAATAAGTAAATCAAATTGTTTGGAGTAAATTCACCTGTATATGAATAATTATTTGTACTACAGTAATGCCTGCCTCTAAAAGCTCCACGAGAGATTATGCTACATGCTATACACATACATACATTGAGTAACGATCCCTGCCTTGAACAGCTTATATTCTAAATAGACAACCCAAAGGAAGGCTTTGGTATATATGGTTGTGACTATTTTCTTCCACTATTTGATCTGAGGAAGTGGGTCTGGCCCACGAAAGCTCATCATCTAATAAACCATCTTGTTAGTCTTTAACGTGCTACATAGTCCTGCATTTTGCTTCAGCTACACCAGACTAACACGGCTACATTTCTATTACTGAACAACTAAGTGACTTTCCCAAAGCACAGAACAGCTGAGAGACCTGCTCAAGGTCAGGCTGGGAGTTTGTGGCAGAACTGGGAATTTAACCCAGACTTTCAGATTCTGACTTGTGCCTCAGCTGCAAGGCCATCTTTTTCTTTAAGCATTATAGTTTGATTAAATGCTCAAGTGCTGATATATTGATCATCCACATACTAAGAGTTTTAGTATGTCTCAAAGTGAATATAGACAATAAATATAGCCTTGTGCATTATGCTGGTAGGAATTTAATTGTTATAATCTAAATATGGTGGAAAATAATACCCTGATTTCACAATACAATTCTATTTTAATATTTTGGTCTTATCCTTCACTAGAGAGCAATTAAAATGTGTTTAAGATTTAAGCAGGCTTAGAATAAACAAATCAGTTTTGTTCTTCTTTTT